GTGATGTGGCTTAATTTCAGATGCAGGTAAATAATTGCTACTTACCTAACTGCTAGACTTCTAATTATTCTAAAATGCTTTATTCTCTCATGAAAGACTGTATCCATCAGTTTAAAAACAAAAATCTGATCCATGCTACAGTTTTAGACAGTTGTACTGAGGCAGATTTCAGCCATTCCTTAACAGCATTTCAGTTGACCCATTGTTAGGCAGGTGGGAAGCCCTAGAGCTGTTGCCAAAGCTGATCACCACAGTGCTGAAGCAGAAAGCAAGTCAGAAAACTGTTCTTACATAAGGGCTCTTGCAACAGCAGCAGAACTAAGGTAGATCATTCCTCCTCTTTTTGTAACTGTTGTAGTTCCAGGTACCAAAACCCCTTGCCTTGCAACAAAAGATGGCAGATTAGAATGTGATTATGTGTTCAATGCCTGCTTTTACAGAGTGTGTAACAGAACCATGGTATAACCTCTAATGTATTAATGCTTCATGGTGGTCTTACTTCAACGGATAAGCAAAGCATAAATGTATTAGTATATAACATTTAAAATAGATAAAAATGTGTAATATTAAGTGTCTTATACTCAGTGTTCACTTAGAGAGGTATATTGAACACCAAGTCCAATTCTTGAGTTTGGTGAAGAAGTTATTGTGAAATGCAAAAGCCTGTCTTTAGATTTCTTTTTTCAGGCTCTAAAATCCACAGCCCTTTGTAACAGGCTGTTATTATATAAAGCCCTGTATGTACTTCCATCTTTTATCAGGATACTTTTGTATTCAAATAGTTTGGTTTCCTCTGAAATCAAAACCAAACCAGTTAAACTAAGACAAACCTTGCTGAATTAAGTAATACAGCAAAAAAAAGCTCCTCTAAAAGCAGAACGACAGTGTAAGGTTTAAGCTCTTCACTCCATCTTTAATACAGCTCGATTGTGAAATAATTTTTTTCCCTGCCTGCTCTTAGAAGAGGTTGCTGTTAAACTATCTACAAATGTGGCTATGGAATAAACAGGAGTTTGGTTTTTTGTGCCTATGTCTGGAACGGAATGGAATGCATCTGTAGTGTTGCAAAAGCAGCACTCAGTTACAGTGCCTTTGTAGAAAGGATGTTTTAGTAATTTATAATAATAATATAATGATGATCACAAGCAAGATAAATCACCATTTCCTTGCATTTCAAAATCTGTCAAGGTAATACTGTCTCATGGACCCAGAAATTTCTGTAGAAAATCTCAAAGAATTTACTTATCAGTTCAAATCATCTACCTGAAGTCTGCAGAGATAGATAGCTAAGAGCTGAAGGGCCTGCAGCGCCTTGTATTTCACCAGCAATAGAGCGAGCTGAACCAATTACCTGACTTTTCTAACCTAATTTGGAAGCTCCACACAGAGGGATAAATTTGCCTTGAAGGCTAATAAAGACCAGAACTGAGGTAGTGGACTTGAGAACTGAGGTCTTCACAGTCTCAATAAAAAATCAGGAGAAACTGAAATTGGCATATTGTGACATATCTTTTTACTCTACTAGAACAGTAATGTTTACCTTTCTTTCGATTATAATTTGAACAATAGTTAGATTAGGCTACAAATAAACTTGCAGGTTTAGAGAAAGGTATTTGACTTGTGGCAACTACTAGACAAAGTAAATGTAATTGAAATGCAGCTGACCCAAAATTTGATCTCTTTCACTCTGTTTATTACAAAAGCAAAATACAGAAACTTATCATTCACTGTTTTTTGGCTGTATTACACCATGACTGTTTCACAGTAAATTTCAGGCTTCAGTCTAAATTCCTTAAAAAACTGGCTGAAAAAGAGAGAGTAAGCAGTGATTATAATTACATTATCACTGCATCCCCTGGCCTGTGCAATTCCCTGCTTCCAGATGGCCAATTTCTGTCTTTTCCCATATGCTGCCTACTGTAACTCTGCCCAGTGCTGGCTGCCAGGAATGCTGTCAGACCTTCTGCTGCAGAGGTTCTTCTGAACCTTCTGGAACGGCACGTTCACTACTCTCCCGCGCTATGCCTATGATTGTGTCTGCATGAGAGCAGGATTCCTCTGGTTATCAGTTACTGCACATTGTGCTCTAATTTTATTTCCCACAAATAAGAGACTGGCATGGCATACCGATTCTCTTGGCTTGAATTTATGCATTATTCATTGATGATTTCCCTGGCGTTTTGTTAAAAGGGAGGTGGTCTTGAATGTTACAATTCACCCACAATAAAAAGATAAAAAGTGAAATCGTATCTCTCAAAGTTAACAGCTATTTAAAATCGGCTGAAATTGTCATGATACTTATTAAAAAACACAGTGTTATAGGTTCTTAGTCCTCATATAAGATTTCTTTTCATGACAAGATGCAAGTGTTTTCTTCTTTTCTGGAAGGTAAGGAGAGGAGCATTACAAAGCTTTAACGCTTTTAGTTTTAGATCTGCAGGTCTATGTAATAGCTTCAACCTGAATCTTTCTGAAGATTTAATAAAAGCTGGGGGAAAGGAGCCTTATGAGAAATATCCACATAAGGTAGCAAAGAAAAAAAAAATGCATTCAATTTCATTTAGATTAGCAAAAAGATGACACTTTTCAGTGGTATAGCTATTCAGGAACTCAGAATGGTGGAAGTGATCTAATGCATAAATTGAGAGTGCATTAAGGTTAAAGGGGACATGGTAAATCTGATTTATGAGATGCTGTTATGGTTGTAAGGTTATCATGAACAAAGGCTCTTTGTCAGAGGTTTGCTTGCATACTTAAGGTTGTGTCTGTTATCGACCAGATTCCAAATTTGGCATAGTGATCTCAGTGGGAGGGTTCAGCTTTTTATAAAACTTTATGAAAAAGTGAACTCCTCAAAGTTTTACTCAAGTGGAATTATTTTACAGACAGTCTGAACTGAACACGGTATTCCCTCACCTTGTCAGTTAGGTTTATAGACAATACAGTTTCAAAATACAATAACCTCCTACTAAAACCACCCCTATTTAAGGAACAGAGTGCCTTCCCTTAGCCATGCAAAGTAGGCAGAACAGGCACAGAAGTCAAGGGATGACACAATAACCACCAAGCACAGCACCCTTAACCATTCATTGGTGCACAGTTTGAAAGCATCTTTTCAGGTCAGGAGACAAACAGGAACTAAAGATGGTACATTCCCAAGGAAGCAGAGAGAACAGCAGTGTGTATAGTAAAAAAATACCAGTGTACTTGACAACTGTTAGAGGAAAACTTGCCAGAGAATTTCCTCGTATTTTTATCACTGTGCTGGAATTGCAGGCTATGAACCTTAAACATTTCTCAGGAAGCTTTCTTTCTGCCTTGGAGAGGAAGGCATATACAAAGGAACACATATTGATCTGTAATTAATCTGTATAGAGTCATATGCGACACTCTGCAAATAGTACAGTTTGAATATTAAAAGTACTGAAGTAGTTAAATGCATTTTTGTACATTTTTTGTTTTGCATATTAAAAATGTAAAAGTTAAAATAGAATTGGTTAGTTCTTACTAGTGCCAAAATCTAGACACATCAAATATATTCTATAGAGTATTCTGTAAAATGAATTCAGAGAATTGTAGTGTAGAAATCTGCTGGGGAGTGTCATCCCCCTCAGTTACAGGCACAATCCAGCATCCTTTCTAAAAAATAACAAAATAACTTCCAGTTTCTAAGGGATGCTGTACTGACTCCATGCCCCAGAATGGAGCTGGGAACAACTTACTTGGAGCTCATTACTTGTAAAAACCGTAGCGGAGGAAGGTGGATTTGCTGGTATCTGTCAAGTGGTAGCAAAGCTAAAGGCAAGACCAGGATTTTGATCAACAGAGGAAGTTACTCCTGGCTTTAGGACAGTAAAGGAGAAGAGAGAGGGAACTCTACAGGGAATGGGAAAATCAAATGTGAACTATAATGCAACTGACTGTGCACGAGGCATTTAATTTAAATAAAATGAAGAAAACTGCATTTGACCTTTTTGCTTCCCCTGCTGAAATATTTTAGCAAGGTATTCGACACGAGTGTTGCCAGTCATTACCATGATCCACAGCCACACACATCTTGTGTTTCTGGCAAGACCCACAGGTTCTGTGTGCACATGCAGAGGGTGCCAGTGCTGTGTCCTAAACACTGCTTACTCATGACACCTGCCTTCCCCCAGCAGCCTTCCTGAAAGTAGGTGAGAATGAGGCTCCTTTTGCTTTGTATCATCCTGCTCTGTGCTGCCATTTTCAAAACTGTTCATTTAAATTATATTAGTTTTCTGCATCAGTCAGGAATAAAAAATGCCCTGGCAAATCTGAGAGCCCTCCAGTCTCCATAGTCAATCCAGCCAGCCACCTCTTGGAAAAATGAGCACTAACGGGCTATATTTTTAACAAATACCTGGTTTCCTTTGCTGCAGTTATCCAAATGCAGATGGGAGAAGGACCCAGTCATAGCATTTTCTCAGCCAGATGGGTATTAGGACAAAGCAACAGGAGATCCTGGCTGGCCCATGAATCTTGATTTCAGGAGAAGTCTACTGCTACTGCTGAGTTCCCCAGAAGGAGCTGAGGCCTTGCCTGTCAGCAAACCCTACCTGTGAAGAGCTCTTCCATCTGTCCTACAGTGGCCAGCACCAGAGCACAGCCACTCAGTGGTCAAAGAGCTGGCTTTCCCTCCCTTCACATCGTGTGTGAAGGCTGAGGTACACAGGTGGAGCAGCAGCCTTCCCAGTCCTACACAACCCTTTCACATTTCTTATAACCTCCCCACAACCCTCATCCCATTTTCAAACTCTGTCCTTTTTTCTATCAGCACCAACACGTCTATTACCACAGTCTGTGAGGGCCCCAACTGTCTCTTTTAGCACAGAATTATCACTTGCTGTTTCTTGCAATGACCAGAGCTGACAGTCCCCCTAAGGCACAAAGGAGTGCATCAGCTGTGAGAAAGAACAGCAGTAGGAAAAGGCAAGTTTTAGAAACGCAAATGAGGAAGGAGAGGAAATCACCAGCTCTTGGCAGGACTTGTTCAGTATGTGTCAGCAGTCTCTTATTTGGAAGTTGCTTTCTTTGAGTTATTGAACCTGTAATCTCACAGCCCAGCTTCAACCATCAAGAAGTTACTCGCATTAGTCTCCATTTTGTTCTGTTTATATTCCACCTCATGACTCCACTCCATGCCTGAACAGTTCTGACCCTCTCCCTGGCCTCACCACCCACACATTTTGAGTAACTGTTGACCGCTAACTTCTGACTCACTGCCTGGTCAGCCTGTTCACTCTGTGTTCAGCTATTTCATCTCAAGGCACTATCCGCACTTAAAAATATTTTATAGAACTCCACCAGGGCTGCTTTAAAAATAGCAGATGTAACTGATACTTGTTTTAGTTTCCTCCAGTGAGATTAGAGACATGCCATGTTTACTCAACAAATGTGTAAGGGTTGAAGGACCATATTCCAGTAGATGTCTGTCTCACGAAGGTTCACAGGCCTCTGCTTCTTCTCCAGCCTCAGCACCTTCCTCATCCTCTTTGCTATTTGTCTGAGCCTTCTGCAAAAGTCTGGGCCCTGCCAAGCCAATAACCAGGGCTCCAATTGGAGCAGTAATCAAGATAGCCAAGAAAGCTACTGTCAGTACATCCATTCCATACTTTTCCAGTTGCTCATCTTGACGTCTTCTCGCTGTATCCAGGGCAAGAGAACCTATTGCAGCCTGCAGGGAAGAAAACATTGCTGAGATGGAAAAAATAACCTTTAGCACTGAAAGAGGAAAAAAAGAGACCAATCATCAGTCAACATTTCATGTAACTTTGACATATTTAGTACATTCAACCCATTAGTTTCTAGGCAGTACATAGAAAAGTAAATATTATATTACACCAATGAGTACAATTTCCACTTGGCTACATTTTGAATTCCCTAAGCTGATGAGTTTATCTGGATGGTTTACCCCTGTGAAGAACATTGCTTAGCTGCTATCTCATCCACCTCTGGAGAATGTGTGATTAATGAAATGGGTCAGTATATTGCATATTGCAGCTGTTGAAATGCCACCCTTTGAGAATGCATCCTGACAGTAGTCAACTAGTAGCGGCTTCTTAAAATTTGTTCACTAATCTTGCAATAATCCTTGCTTGTTTTGATTATTAACTTTTGTTTGCAAGTAATCATGCTATTGAGGCAAATGATTTAATGATCACTGAAACGAAGGAGCAGGAATGCAGCCAGCCTGAGGCATCTCTAGTAATACAGCTCTCGCAGACTGCGCCTTACCAAAATGACCACAAACTGATACCTATTCTGAGTCTCTGATGCGACTGTCCCTGCAGACATTTCATGTGTGAGAGGGAAACGCTTCTGCCTATTTTTGAGAGTTCTCATAATCTTTATGTAGAGGCACAATAAGCTGCAATGGCTGGGAAACAGTTTAACTTCCTATGACTTATCTACACTGTCATTATTAAGAGTACAATCCAGGATGCAAGCAAAACACCATCACACAGAAGGTTCTCCATGCACTTTTCAAGCAGACTTAGGGTGGTTTAGAATATGAACTGTCAATACACTACACTCTGGTGTCACTGAGCCTGAACCTTTCCCTGTTTACTGCTGTGCTAGTTACAGGGAACTTTGCTAAGGACAATAGATTTAGGCTGGAATGAAAGTGATGTTGGACTGCTTACCTGGACAGTGGCTTTGGGCATCCATGCCAGTGAGACAAATACTTTCTCCTTGAAATTAAACCCAGTGAAAGACACCATGAGGAACGTTGCTATGATTCGCACAACTAGGGCAATGCCTAATATAGCAACACAGAGCCCTGCAACAAAGACAAACACTTCTGAGTACTTCTGTGCATAGGTGCCTGAGGGGAGTAAGGCTCCTAAAACTGTAGCTTTACAGTGGGGGTGGGTTTTGGGTTTTATTTGGGTCAGTCATAGTCTGCTTTGCTTTAGATTTCTGTGTAGAGAATCTTTTGAAGGCAGTAATGAAAGCTGGATAATTTGTGAATGATCTTACCAACTGTTTCAGGCCTAAGGGATGTAACAGATACTTCTCCAATTAAACCAAAAAGAAAAGGTTGGAAGATATTCCATGCAACTGCCACAATTTTTTCTACGTCCCTCTGCAATGAAAACAAAACCAATCTGTAAATTCATAAAAGATAGACAAGCAAACACAACATTTAATTAATCATAGAACAAAGTGAAAATGTATGTTAAGATGTCCAGAATTGCTCCCCTTTTTTTGAGATAATACTAAAAGATTCAAAATCAGTTGCACACCTTCCGAAGGTCAGACTGTGTCTAGCTCTGGTAGTAAATAAATGTTTGATATCTCAAGAAGAGAAATAATCACTGGTGTTTGAACAGTAACAGAGCAGTTTTCAGAGAGGAGGAAAATAAAGCATTGTTGATTTTCAGTATTTAGGAAGATGTAATTTCAGCAGCTTTGGCATGAAGTTTCTGAGCCCTTGGAAACTGGCATGCTTTAACATGTTCTTCTGTTTGTATCTGAGTGCAGTCAGACTCTCAAAAGTTTCAGCCATGATCTAGCTCTGCTCGTGCTGCACTCAGTCAGAGGCCTCTCTCCACGTCAGCAGGGGCAAAGTTACAGAATCAGAGAATATGCCGAGTTGGAAGGGACCCCCAGGGATCACCGAGTCCAACTCCTGGCCCTGCACAGGACCATCCCCAAGAGTCACACCATGTGCCTCAGAGTATTAGGCTGAGCAAGTCTGAAATCACATACCAATAACAAGTGCTGAACTTTCCAGTGCAATATACTGTATAAAGGCAAAACCATCTTTTCTCCTTGTGTTTGAACTTTACACCTAACAATTTTCCTAAAACAACTGCTGCCAGGATAAACAGAAATCTTCCACTTATAGGAAAAGGTACACATAGCATGTTGAATAGCACTTCTCTTTTAATTGTGTTCTACCATAGCAAATGAACCTTCAGGCTGGAGTGTGTGGAAAATGTAAGTGCTGTGCTTTGTCACTTAATAATCAATCCAAGGCCTAGAGACGTTCCCTCCTTGGTGTTCTCTCTGGGACTGATCCTGCAACACCTCTTGCTCTTCAGTCAATGGAATGGTAGGTTATTGTAATACAAAAACTTCTGTAACCTTAGAGAGATTCAGGTGGAAATATACAGACTTCTAAACATTATTTGCCTCATTTCTTCTTGTTTTCTCACCCTTCTAATTTTTAGCAAAAAAAAAAAATCCTCTATAGATTTCAGCCTGTTTACTACCCATTTTACTGTTCCAGCAATAGGTACAATGTTCATTGTTCTCTGTGGACAGTGTCTGCCAAGTGACTTCCACTATGGACAGTGGGAGGCAGTGGCCTTTGAGAAGCTCAGCAGGGAGCTTCTGGATAATATATTGAGTACACAGTATGCAGACATCTCTGGCTGTATCTGCTGAAAAAGACCTAAGGCATTTGACATCACTATACTTAAGGCCAAGAAGCTTCATTCACAGATCAAAAGAAGTTTAACTAAACCTTTATCGATAGATGGCATATACTCTTTTAAGGTCCTTCTTCTGAAATGAGCTTTTAAAATAGAGAACTTTATTAGTTGCAATGTCCTTAACTAGTTCAGTCCTAAAAAGAGTTTTTCATCCCTTCACTGTTTTAACAAACCAGGGTCTAGATCAGGATAATAACATGGACTCTGCTCTATCTGATCCCCTTTCCTTTCTCTTTTCCTACTGCATGTTGCAAAGCTACAGCTGTGGAAAGATGCCCTCAAAACATTACATGTAAGATGGTATCAAGCAAAGAGGCAGTGAGACATACCGAGGTACAGAAATACAGTGGGGCAGCAACAGTAAGAGGAAGCAGGCTTAGTAGCTAAGAGAAGGTTACTAGAAAGCAATCTTTTGTATGGTTTTTGTATGACCAGTTCTTGTGTACACCCTGCTCTCTAAGTTATCCAAATTACACTGGCTGGGATTTGGGAAAGATGAGAGAGAATGGTTAATTACCGTTTTTCATTTCACCCCCCAAACCCACAGAGAACAAAACCTCAGGGTATTCAGGCCATATGCACAACTATATTTTGGACACCTGTTTGTAAATTTTACCATAAAGTCACTGTGTAAGGTTACAGACACTCACAGAGCTGGCGCATAAAGCTTTTGATTCCTAGTCAAGTGCCTTCACTACTAGGTCTCCTTTACATAGCTTAAGATGTCTAAGAAAAGCTTGTGAGCATTTCTCTGTCAGTAGGCCAGGCTCTGTATCAGTATCTACTCACATACCAGGTAACTCTCTGTCATGGTAAAGACACACAAAGACTTCCAAATAAATGTAAAATGTGCTGGTTGTTTTTTGGTTTTGTTTGTTTGGTTGGTTTGGTTTTTGTTTGTTTTGTTGTTGTTTTTGTGTTTGGTTTTTTGTTTTGTTTTGTTTCAAATCTGTACACCCTCTAAAGCTTCACAAATACACCAGTACCAGTCCTGACAGAAGTTCAAACTCCCGTCAGACTGTATGTTCAATAGAGTTTGGGTATGGTACACTTCTTATGTAAACATTCACCTTTTCATCAGACCATCCCACACCTGCAACAAAGGCTAAGACTAATGTGCAGAGTCCTCCTGATCCAGGGAAGCCAAAGTAGATGCTGCCAAAAACAGCAAAAATGGACAATCCAAGGGCAAAATATGATCTCTTCCATGCCAGAGATGCCTGCAGCCAAGGAAAGAGACAAACAAAAAAGCAACTTTCTTTAAGAAATGGAGGAAAAAAGGTACTTCTTCTAATTTTGAAAATAACAATTTGAAAAGAAAAATAAAAATTAACAATTTTGGAGGAATCAAAGCTTTCAAGTGAGACTTGAACTACTCATTTTGTTTGCGGGGTTTTTTTTGACATTAATTCCTAAGAAATATAAATTTTGAAAATTTAGTATTTTCTTTCCTCTGCCCATCCAAAATCTTACTGCCAGTAGGCTTTTTGTATCACAAAGAACACAATGCTGTGTTCTAACAGCCCTTCTATCTGTTCTGTGATAACAGGATTTTTTACCTGTGCAGTCCAGTACTAAAGCAGTTTATCCAACGAGAGGTGAAATCCTTGCCACCGCAAGTATTTAAGGACAAGTCAAACAAACATTTGCCAGGGACATTTTTATGTGATTCAGTCTCACAGCAGACAGTTATATCTCTACCACTGTTCCCCATTCCTATCTATCTGTTTAGCTCCTGTATCATACTTATTTAATAATAAGAAAATTTGGTCCCACTCAGGGCAGTGGATGCTTTGCAAAGTGATTTCAGTAGTCCAGAACATATGTACTTTCTTCTATAATTTTCTGTTCATTTAATTGCCCCTCAATAGTAAGTTCATCTACCACTTTCTATAAGATTAATTTTTATTGAAAGCAACACATTCTAATGAGCTAATGATATGCTCAACCACTTAAAGCCTCTAATATGTCTCCTTTATCAATTTTTAATCTTAGGCCTACTGGATACACCTTATAGGAGTAAATATGTCACATTAATCTAATACATTATTATTTTACTGTCTGAAATGGGTATCAGACCCTTCCCTCCTTTACATGTGGACATTTCCACTACCTTTAATGAGAGCAGGATGGTGAGCTGGATTCCAAACTCTGCATCAGGAAGGACTGTGAGATCATATATCATTATTGGTGCAGTGAACAAGTAATCACCTATAAAACACATTGTCACTTGATAGGCTTTGCAACCTGGAAGCTGTTAGCACTGCACACAGCTTTTCCAAAACCAGCTTCATGTGAAGCTTGGAAATGAATAACTGACGCAAATCATCCCATCGTAAAGAACCTCTATCTTATAAAAAGGTTTTTTTACTGGGTTTTTACCTGATCATGGCTTGGGAAATATCGAATAAACATTCCCAGAATCCCCCCAGCTGCTATGCCAACAGCAACTTCCAGCACTCCACGGAGCACATTGTACAGAGTAGAATCTATTTGGCAAAAAAACATGTGTTCAGTAAGCCATACACAGACCCTTCACACACAAACCACACTGTAGGCCTATGAGGGTGATTCCAGGACAGTGTCTGTTTTAAATTACTTGGGGCAAAGGAGTTGAGGAGGGAACCTACGGGCCTGAAAGAACTGGATAGTGCAACTTTCTGTCTCTGAAAGCTCATGGCAAGAAAATGTGCAAGACAAGCCAGAGAAAGAGCCACAGCAAGAACATTGCCAAACCCAGGGAAATTTGAAAGTGTTATTCTGGGCATGCAGGGACCAGACTTGGCAGCTAAGAGAGCAGACAGGGAGAAATGTTCTCTGAAAGTTATTGTGACCGACAACTCAGCAGACAATGTTACACCAAGACTTTTGAACAGGAGCAATTTCCATCTCAGTATTCAAGTCCATACATGAACTTTATAAGGAGATGTCATTAAGTTACAAACCAGTCGGTCATAACAGAGCACATGTTCTTCAAAATATCACTGTTCTGGATTTCGCCACATACAGATTAACCGGCATACCAGAGGAGAAAGCCATTCCAAGGCAAGTGTTGAAGCCTGTGATAGCCAGAATGTCATCAATGCTGCCAGCTGCCATTAGCAAAGTTGGGACACCTTTCTCCACTCCATATCCCCCAGCTTGTAAAATCAGCATTGAGGGAACCACCACAGCAGGGGAGACTGCACCTACAACAAAACTGAAAACACATAGGTTCAGGCTCTGTTAAAAAGAAAGCACTGTAATAAAAAACTTCAAAATGTTCTGACCCTATGGTCAAATTCTTTTGAAGTGTAAAAAACCAGACCTTTACATAAGGTATTTTCCTTACCTTTTCCCTCTAATTACAAGCAGGGATATTTCTATGCAGATTGCAATCAGCTCTTACTTTCTGCCCAACTCAGTAGTATTAAAAGGGCTCCAGACTGAAACTTGAGTCTACACTGCAGGCCAGTTATGCTCCCCTGATAGATGCTTTCATTGTTCCATTTAGGAACCTGGTCTAGACATGCTTATGAGTCAGTAGCCCAGTTCCTTCTCATAAAATTCAGTGTGTGGCACAGGAGGAGTTCACCCATCTTGCTCCAGTATATGGGTCTGGACTATGTCTACCAATTTAGATAGAACTAGATGGAAAATATTTTCTCTTCAAGGATATTACTCCAGAATATACCACACCATATCCTTATCCTGCGACTTGTGATAGGAAGACTGTCCTATGTGCATCTCTCTTGGGGGAAATGCTGAATTCCAGTATGAAGATTCTCTAAATTGTGGTATAATTTTCTGTCCCTAAAAGCCCCCTGTATTGTGGTTAAAGACTCAGGGATTGCACCATCCTTCTTCAAGTGCTCAGATCACAAAGAAGAGTTACGATGCAAACACTCCTCCACAGCCTGGAAATATGTTCTGGATCCCTTTCCCGTGACAAATATGACCTTTAAATCAGCCACAGAGCCAGACATGAATGGAAGCGAACGACCACAGTGGCTAAGCACAGCTTCCTAACTGGCATTGAACTGAGGTCTCTGCTTGGCCTAGAGAACTAACCACACTTGGATCATTTAACTGCAGCATGAAAACAGGCACCTTTGTCATACAGGAGAGGAGAAGATACATTACCCTAATATAAATCCCCACTGCCATGGCAAATGCAGGAGAAAGTAGGCAAGAACAGCAGCTGTGCATGTTTCTGAGAGGCATGGTCCAAAAGCAAGCCGTAAACAGACAGCTTTGAGCTTCTTAAGAGCCTGCAACAATACAACCACATCAGTGTCTGTACCCTTGGCTTTATAGAAAGGAAATACAGTTACAATCTGATCTGGGTTATTAAGAGTCCTGTCTGAGTTGCACTATAGGATGTCACATGGCCTAAGCTGGAGACAGACTCAAGCACAACGGGATTTAGGTGTAAAATTTCACGTGTGGCAGTGAATCTAGGTTTGACAAGGTTCCTGCATGTCACAGGAAGGAGTGGCAAAAAATTCTCTTTGGCTTCCTGTGCAAAGCAAACTAAATGTGAGAGGCTGGACTAGCTGAGAACCATTTGAAAAGTGTACCCTCAACACTGCTGACTTACCCACACTGATTTGAGGTCATTTGCTCCACCCACAGAAGATTTTGCTATAATCCCAGAAGTTGCATAAGCACCCACAAAAATCTAAGAAAAAAATCATGAAAAGTTGTAGAACTACATAACTTTGGCACAAGGAGCCACGCATCTCTTTCAGCTGTCTCTCACTGGATATCCTGAGCAGATTAAGTTCCTTTTGTCTCAGTTACTTTTTTAAAAAAATTTTGTCACAGCTGTCTTTAATAGTCAGTCACAAACATGACTCTGCTAGGACAGGTTCCTAATTTTGACATGGAATAAAAAAAAATAAACCAGTGAGTTCCCCTTTTTACCAGTCCAGTTTATCCCAGCATAATCAGGGCTGAGCAGATCTACTGACATCTTTGTCTTTACAGCTTCAATTACACGAAGAACAATTGTAACTGCATCAAAGCAACTGCCACATACAGAGTTAAAATGACAGTTTTGATTGCCACACGGTAAAAAATGAGTCAAAGATGAAGTTTCCTCAGTACAAAAAGTTGACACGAAGTAGAAAGAAGTGCACTCTCACAGAAGTGGGCATCCAAGCTGTGTCTAACAACACACAGTTCATGCTCATAGGAGCTTCAATGTCTTCGAAAAAAATATGATGATAATCTAGGAAACCAACCAGACGGTTTTCAATATTGAAAAAACCTTATTTTCTTAAATATCTGAAGCACTGGCAACTCTCTAGATTTTCTTGGTTAAGAAAAATCAGTTTAGATGTTCTTAATTACCTATATTTTACCTTAAATTTTATATAAACTCTTAAGTGGTTCCTTAAATAGGCAGGGACTAATATGCTACAGCTTTACTTCAGCCAGCTGGTTTTGAATGAGCAAAACCTTGCCTTCATTATTTATGGACCATCACACTTCAGAGTGTGCAGAGGAAGACTATTTTTTGTTCACCAGACTGTTATGGGCTTCATGGTGATGTGAGTCATTGTTTCTGTAGTGCAGTAGGACTCATCTTTGCAATTAATGCAATTAATTAAAATGGCAGTCATTAAAAAAAAAGCCAGAAAAGTCATAGAGGTTTACATTTTTTTTTGGTTGTGTGAGTTTTTTGGGTTTCTGTCCACACAGGAACATTCTCTTTCAAGGACTGGGGATCCCTTCCATTCCTTGCTTTAGTTTGTCAGTGTAAACTAACAGGGAGTTTGTCTGGGAGTGTAAACTCTTCCTGACAGACCATGATGGAGCACACATCCTCAAGATGTTTACAAAATTTAGGAAATTTCTTTAGGGCAAGGGGAAAATAGTTATAAAATCGGTTTTCTTCAGGTATTTTTTGGATTGCTTGCCTACTCTACAAATTCAACTGTCAATATTAACATACATATAAGCTACGTTTATATATATATATATACACAATATAAGCTACGCTTTCTGTAACGATCAAATTTGCAGATTCTCCAAGACCGAACAGTTCAATATTTTTAACAGATCCAGTTATTCAATTTTCTTGAGAGATGCTGTATACTTTGCCTCACACAAATGGCTGGTGCCATACCTTTGGATCCAGGCCAAGTCCTGCTCGGGTCAAGATAACTGAAAGAGCAATATTCCTCAGTGCTGCAGACCAGCGTAGGTTTATCTGGACAAAGTCACTAATGAACGGAGTATTTCGGATTAGGAAACCAGCAAGTAGCATCCCTTAAATGAAAGCAAATGAAAGCTCCTATAAATAATTTGTTTTTAATGCACGAGAAAAGCTTGCATAGCATTCTTAAAAACAGACACCATATTATTTATTTACGAGAGGAAAAAGTAACAATTCATGTTCTGAATTATTAGACATGTTTTAACAATGGGACTGAGGCATGAAAACAGAGAAACATATTTAAAGCAGTGAAAGTGGCTTAAGAAAATACAGGTCACCAATAAATCTGCAGGATGCTGACAAAGTTTGAGTCAAGAGAATTTGGCTTTGTTCACCAGGTGCAGGTTGATTACTTACCATAAGCAAAGACACCCTTGCATCCTTAAAGATTTTTTTCTTGTTAGCTTGTTTTAACATGAAAAGAGGAAGATCTTCTAATATTGTGTATTTATCTCAGAACTTGAAAATTGTTAAAATTGTTAAAAATTCTCTTAGGTGTAAGAAATGCAGGTCACAAGAACCATAATGCTAAGGTTGGGGAAATATAATCTAAAACAGCTAATCATGGACTAATGTAGACATTTTTAAGTGCTCTGGTAATATGACTCTTACACAAAGGGGAAAAAAGGAGGCAGGAAAATCAGAAACTTGGTGTTATCCTCTATTTGAGCTACTTGCAAGATTCAACTTCTGCAAATATTAGTGAAACTGTCAAATCAGAGAATTCTTGCAACTGTAGCTCTGGAAGGATATGGAAAAGTACAGGAGAAGTTGACTATAGATATAGATCTGCAGAGATTCATTGTAAATCTTGATGATTCATTTTTGTGGCATAATGTTGTATTAGTCAAGTTTAGAAACAGGAAACCAAAAAAAGACAAAAAGTAAATAATCATTGTGCTCAGGTTGCTCCCTGCTTGGTGTGAGCCTCAGCTGTGGACTTGATTTGTCCTGCAACACTCTAAACACTGCTCTTCCTAACACCTCCTGGAAAAAAAGCACGGCATAATTAATTTGCAGTACCTCATGACAATTATATAAGGGTAGTATAATGATCATATGCTCTTTGCAATGTTTGCCTGAGGTCCAAGTCACCAGAACTACCCTGACATAGAAATCTACTTAACAAAGCAAAAGTCTCCACCTCAAAGGGTATCTTCACTGTTCTGCTCCATGTTGCCTGCTGCAGAAACCTCTCTGCAACGTGTACCTAAAATATACTATGCGGTTGTTTCAGTACCAATTTCACTCCTTTTTTTCCTGAAACAGAGGCTCACTATAAGGTGCTTAAGTGCTTAGCCAGCTACATTACACTCTACTGCATATAGCACAAGTGGGTTAAACATATGTAAGAGTACCAGATTTGCATTTTTAATGTAAAAACAGAATATTCAAAGACATTGTCTATCTCTTCTTCTGACTCATAGATTTCCCCAATTTTTCTCAAGACTGGGGATTGGAACAATGAACTCGGTGCTAAACAATTCAACAAACATGTGCAGTCACGCTTAAGTTTCTGTTGTCCAGTATTACCTGTCTGACAAGCACTTTCATGCTCAACTCATAACTTTTAGATACAGACGTAATTAAAAAAAACCCAAACAAACAGAATCCAAATGGTCAGAAACATTTTTATTTGTTTAAGGGGGGTGTTTACTTTAGAAAGGGAGACTCCCTGCGTGTGACATTCTGTGTTCATATTATTGCAGCCATGCATGTTCTATGCAAAACTTCCCTCCCTCTCATTTGAATTTTTTCTTGCTGGTGAAACTAAGCAGTGCAAGAACGCACACGCTGCCTGACGGAGATGTGTACGGAACAACTGTCTGAGGCACACCACCAGCTGTGCAGGTTACAAAGTCACACCTGTGCACTACAGGCAGGTATCTGTAAGCCCACTCTGCCATGAAGTATTACTGTCTGTCAACAGCTTTACTCATTTATGCAGTAAGCATAGCAGGGAGACAGCCTACAGCTGGTGAGAAGAACCTGGAGCTTCATTTTCCAGCTTCACTGACATCACAGCACTTCACAATATTGTAGTGATATAAGCAAAACTGAAACCTCCTCTAGGAAAGAAGTCTGAAAACATTCTGAAGATGTTATTTTCACCTCCCATTTCTATTTTGCCTTTCTATGTAAAATAAAATAGAATGTTGATGTGAAAAACAATATTATGATTGATTCAGAATAAATCTCTTCAGAAGAACTATTCTTTGTGGTGAATTTATTTCCTCATGTTTCAGTTATCTTGAAATAAAGGAAGAGGAAAAAAGAAATCCTTCGGACTACTAGTAGTGGGGAATTCCTATAATGATTTCTTTGGAAAACATTTTCATTGTGGAAGAAACTAATGAAACAGCTCAGCAATAGTTTTGCTATGAATTTATTATTCTACTATAACAGGAGGTCTGGATTAAGATTCCTGTTTGGTGTTATTAAACCCAAATTTTAAGTAACTGTGACAGAGGGGACTGGAGGACAACAAACTCTGAATTTGTAGGTATACAGTTCTTTTACCCCCAAAGAATTACGAGGAGAACCTCAGTAACAATTTCACCTGAGCCAGTTTGGGGAATTTTGCACCCTCTTGAAGAGGACCAAAAATGTCACTTGGAAAAGGTAGAGATTTGGAGTGTGACACAGTTTGCTTGTTCCCAATTCAAACACGCCCAGCCTGCAGATACTGCTTGGTGGTTTAAACAACACAAAATATGCAGGAAGAAAAGAAGGAAGGATATCTTACCCAGAAGAGCAGGGAGAGGGGGTAGGGTTCGTATTTTGATGAATCCAAAAATTTTACCTCCAATGACAGCAAAAAAATAAAGAAATAGAATTCCAAACAGATTTCCACCTGGGAGACACTCAACCCCAGTTATGGACCAAACCACAGCCCAAACCAGGACCACAACTGCAACTGGAACGAAACAAAAAATATTCATATTTAATAATCTCTCAGGAACAACTTTGCTGTTGGATCACATTTGTTTTTCTCCTGAAGAAAAATGTTACCGTGACTTTCAGAAATAAAATTACTTACCTTAAAAATTAGTTTAATCATAACAATGCATTTAATCTTTGATGGTCTCTAAACTGATGTTCTGATTTTATAGATGCTAAGATACTTTAAAAAATGGTAACAGGAACATCATTAGAGATCAAAATGTTCTGAGTGAGCCTTTGGCCACCGTGGAAGGCATTTGACAGTTTCCAAATTTAAAGCAAAGACTTTCACTAACTTATTTTGCATTTGCTTATCTTTCTTCAGCTACTTCAGAACCACAGTAAAATCTGCTGCTGAACAGCCTGGCATATCTTCAAGCTCATGATTGCAGCTCCAGCCTAATTTTTAAAAGAATTGAAGTGTAATTTTTAGGCTGGATCTGCTTGTACAATACATTGTTATCCTTGGGAAAAACATTCTGAAGAAGGTCATATCTCTGGACAGCCTGAAGGACTACAGATACTTCCCTTGATACAACAATCAAAGGGGAATAATATACAAGGAAAAAGAAATCCTGAAAAATATTATGAGAACAGTAAGTGAAAATATTATGCTCTTTGCTAGTTCACAAATCTGTTCCTACAGTTGTCCAACAAGAACAGCTATGCATAGATATAAAAGCAGAAGACTGAAGGAGAGGAAAAAATGTGTTGAATAAATCCCTCTTCTCATGATCATAGGAAAGTATATTGCGTTTTCAGATTGGATTTTTCTTAATCTTACTTGAGGGTGACAGGTGTCAAAAGGGAAAATCAGTAGATTTCCAAACATAAAAGCCCAAGAATCCCAAGTGAGGGTGAATGGAGGCTGTGGAAAGAGTCAAAGCCACAGGATGTGTCTTTTGTCAGGAAAAAGCTTAAATAACTTATGAGCCAGGTATCTCTTCTGTGAACTTTCAGTTTAGGACAAATCTTAAACAAAATGTGTCAGTTTGCCTTGTAGTTAGGATTCTTGGCTTTGCAAGCCTGGAGTATTAAGGAACAAAAGAAGGTATCACTGCAAAGTCTTATATTTATTGCCTTAATTAAAAAGAAAGCCATCCAGTATGCCAAATATACCACTGTGTTCAGAATCACCCTAATGCTCTCAATACCAAAACAAAATATCAAGACAAAACTTAGGAGGTCTTTCTTCTGATGAAAACAGTTTGCAGTGCAAAAACATACCTACCATGATAAACAGGTAAGAGAGAATGGAGAAACAAAAACTGCACATTCAAATTTTTGCTTTACTTCTTTTTTTCTGCTAAAACATTAACACAAAAGTGTGATAAGTAAAACACAGCTGTTTCCCTTCACTTTTTTAAAGGATAAAGGGACAGATATCATCCCATTCAGGGAAACAAATACTTCACTTGCCATTTCTCATTTCAATTAAACTCTGTCTTTCTTACATACCATTTGTCACTGTTTGGGCGAGTAAACCCTGAGGAGGACAAGCAAATATTTGCCTCCATGTTCTTGAAGACCCTGCTATTGGTTCTGAAGGTTGCTGAGCACAGTGGTTCAAGAGAGCAGTTTCTTCTGTTTGTGTATTCCCATCGGTACCTTTGGCATCTGCTGTTGGTCCCTGCTGAATGAAAACAAGGAGACTCTCTCAGAGGTGGCACTGCTACAAACAACTATATTAACTAAACAACCCCATCCAGCTTTGTAGTTTGGCGTTTTTGGTTATGTGTTTGTTTTTTCCATGGCACAAAGAACTGCATGGGAGAGACTGCAGGCCATTTGCCTTTTTATCTGCAACTGAGAGGACTCCTGTCCCAATACAAATAGCACCTGTGCAGCAATAATATCTGCATATTCGATGAAGAAACAATAATAACAGGCCAGGCTCAGCTTGTCTTGTATACAAACTAAATATTTATTAATATTTTCTACAATTTGATAGGATTCTGCTTCCAGACTGGATTTCACAATAAAGTTAACAATTAGCATAATTCCAGTGAGACAGTGTCTTTAATGTAACTGCTAAATAACTCCTGTTGCAAAGCCTTGAACAAAAATAACAGAACAAATATGAAAGAAACAGAACAGCTGGCCAGTGCAAGCATTACTCACATGATCCATTGCTGGAAGGCTCAAGCTGCTAAGTCAAAGTAGAGATGGAGAAATACTACCCTGGGAGTTATTCCCTTGAAGAACGATTCCTTGAAACTGTTCTCTTATACTGATACATCTACTTATCCATATTCATAGCCAAAGCACTTTTTGACCATTTTTGGATGTGTCTCACTTCATTTTAGCGTCTTTATTTTTGACAAGTTAATCATCTACCTTCCCTTATGATTATTCACCTTCATGTCAGCTCATTGTCATAGTGTAGACATGAAGTTCTGCCTCTCATGTAGCCCTCCCCCACTAATACTTCCACATTCCTGATTATTTATATCTCATCCCGCTCTCACTCTCTCTCTCTCTCTAAATTCCTTACTCAGAGTCACAACTGGAACACAAATCTTGTGAGCTTTCAGCATGGAATTACTTGTTTATCTACCCTGTGATTCCATGATCACCATATGCACATGACCACTGTGTGCATAAAAATACAGCAGTTACCTTTATACTCAATACCATATGCTTACTTTTAAGTGACTTTTATGTTAAGAATTTTATTCGTACTTGCATTTACTTCCAAGTCTTTTTTAAAGCCATAGACATTTCCAATAATACTGGAAATAGGCAGAGAAGCTTAAAAGCATGGGCTTTTATAATTTTTATTAGATAAGAAAAGGAAGATAGATACGCATTAACAACTTTCAGCAAATGGACTGATAAGTGCAATTTGAAAGCAAAGAAGTAATCTTAAGGACACATAATTTTCTTCCAAAAAATGTATGCTGATGCATTTTCCATCTCAAGCTGAAACTGCAACCACTGATTTCCAGCAATCCAACATACTGCAGACTATACAAACTGAACACACGTTAATTATAAAAGATTCCCACCGAGGAGATTTCTATGTGTATTCTCTTCAGATTCAGGGATTTTAACAATATGGGAAGAAAAAGGAAAGGAAAAGGAAGGTTCCTTCTGACTAGAATTGCAGTTAGAGATCTTAGTTAATTACCTCACTTTGCTCATGCATAAGAATCATGCCATTTCGCTCACATACTGATGGCTCAGAATCTTCACTATTATTTACATCTTCCTTTACCATTGTTGCAAACCTAAGGAAAGCAACAAAGATGGAAAAGTTAGAGAGACACAAATAACGCTGTTTTCCAAATGGAACACTTCTCAGTGTTGTCTTTTTCCCATAGCTCAGGTAAAAAAACCCTCACAGCCCAATTCCAGATTTAATGGTTTTTGCATGCGCCTGTATGCTGCATGTAAGGACAAGAGACAGAAACTAACGGAAGAACAGTATTAAGCTTACAAAGACAAGCAATAAAAAAATAAAATAAAAAAACCTGAGTTTTAGGATCACAATGATCTGTGCTAACCTGTTTATTCCTCTTTAAATGTATGGCTGTAACATATATATATAAATTCTATCTATCTGTCTATATCTATTTTTGCCTCTTATCAGCACAAAGATGAAGGTTATTTGCTGTCAACACCACTTAGGAGGACCACTAGTTCTGAAAGTGTCACAGGCCCTGTGTGCATGGCAGCAGAAGTACCCATTAAATAAAGTTAGAACAACAACTATAGTTTCTAAAGCTCCAGGGGACTTCTAAAGTTTCATGAGGGGACACTTTTCTTCTAACTTAAGCCTGACCAGATCCAGGTTGATTTTCAGGGGAATTTTCAAGAGCATAGCTCTGTTAGATGCCACTAGTCACAAACACATGGACTGAATATATAAGTAAGAGAAGATGCCTTTAAATCTATGAGTGAAGATCAGGACTATTCACAGCTTGCAGTCTGTATTCAGGTTAGGCTGACAAAACACGTCCCTTTTTAACTGCTTATATTCCATGGTTATACATCTTAGAGTGGGAAATAAGGTCCAAGCTGTTTGTGGGTTGCCATTGTATTTGCTCAGTCTAACTGGTCCACTTCTTGTCCCATAGATTCTAACAGGACATATGGCAGTGCATTGTTTTGTATGTCAGATTTTTTTTTTGTGCAAACATTTACTGTAGTTTCACAAGTCTGAGCCAGCAAGAGTTGCATGAGCCTGAAGACAAGGCTTGCTAGTGTTCTTTGTTACAGCAAAGCTGTGCATATATTCTCCATCAGCTAAATTTCTTGAAATCTTTTACATTGTTCTGACCGTATAAAACACCAGTGCAGTTGAGCCAGAACTTTTGAGTCAAGAAATTCCTTCCTTGCTAAATTGTTGGAAGTAAGTCAGAGCTGATTCTCACAATTATCAAGCCTTCAGTTTATAATGAAATATCTGATATTTAGGAATGATAGATGCCATAAACAAAGACGGGCCATTGTAACACCAGGGTAGTTTTATTTGAGCAGTTCTGATAAGAAACTGGCTTGAGGCTTGGCAAAGGCAAACACTTTCAGTGTGTTCTAAGGTAAGAGTTTTGCTTTCTTTCCTGTTTAAATGTAAACTGTTAAGTCTACTCAAATTCCAGTACTTTTCTATATTTTTAATTACTACTTATAGAACCAAATAGTTGTGTTCTTAGAGTTCTTTAATGACATCAGCGATACTTTTGGTTTGGTTTTTTTTCGTCCCTTCATTGGGGCTGGGAATCCACAAATGCCAGTTGTACTAACTGGAATAGAAAGTTATCAGCAACTTACCAGTGCCTCCCTCCTTCCCTTCACTGACCTCATTCCCAATATTTCTGTACTTAATTTTGTACTTCTGAAAGGGGCGTGCGTGGGTAAAAGACAGAAAGATATTGTTCTCCTTCCAGCTTTGCACGGGCAACATCCCAGTTCATGGGGTCATGTAGTTAACACAAAATACATTCATACTTCTGAGAAAGGCAGGTCCACCTTGCCACAGCTTCAGCTCCTGGATGCGCGGTTCACAGCAGCATGTGAAAGAAAGGACTGACTAAGCAGGGAGATGAATGTTCTGCTTAACAGGAATGGTTTCCAGGTGTGAACGAGAAATCTAATAGTGTATGTGCTGTCCTTATCTGTTTTGTGACAGGTCTTCACCCTGTTAGCAGGATCAAGAACTCACGTCTAAGCAATGTCCAGTTGGATCGATGGGACCACAGTGAGTGGTTAGTGTACTTACATCAGGGAGGGGCAGTCTTCTGGGGGTTCACTGTAATTTTTTTTCCCGGGCAGGAGGTGTTGTTTTGTTTTTTAAACTTCACCCCGTATTCAAACAAAATCAAGTGATTGAGAAATCACAGAGTGGAATTCATACCACAGGGTTAAGGCCTGTACCATGGAAATCAGCCAATAACAGATTTATTTTAGTACCTCCCTGGAAAACACACTTTCCTTATTTTGAAACCAGAGAGGTTTTCATTAGATCCTATAATTTTACTTGTTTTTAATGGGTAAGGAGGAGGAAAGAGAGGGACAGCTGACCGACAGGGACAACACGTGCATGCCTATCGCATTAGCTGTGTTGGCTTGGTGACTCTCTACGTTCTGCTTTGCACACAGACGGTACAGAAAGGAATACAAATAAAATACCACAAGCATCGCCAGAGCAACTGGCATTCAGAATAAACGATTAAAAACCCACACAACCTAAACCACGCATCACATCCACAAAAAGACACTAAGGAAAGCCCGGTGCAGCCTCCTGCCTGCAGTGCCCGGCGGTCACCCCTCCTGCTGCCTCCAGGTGCAGGGAATGGGGTGCAACGGTACAGAAGGCCAGAAAACTCACCTGGGGAACAGAAGGGACCAGAGCGAGGGAACCGCTCCCCGCGAGGACGGCGAAGCGACAACCCGCTCCCGGCCCGGGGCAGCAGCTCCTCTGTGACGGCTGCGGCTCCTCCTCCTCCCCCGCTGTTGCTGCTAGCGACGTAGTCCCTCCTCCAAAACCACAGCTTCACTTGGCCAGCGGTGAAAGCCTCCTGCTGGACCCTGGGATGCCCAAAAGGGCGTCCCGGATGCCTGAGTGAACGGGTCGCAGGAGATGGGGGGCTGAGCTGTCAAGTTGGTTTGAGCGATGGATCAGACCTGAGCCCATCCAAAGCTCAGAATACCTTATCAGGGCACCGAGGAGGAAGTACGTTTTTGTGTCTTTTCAGCCCTTTGCTTCCCATGACATTCATTGCATCCTGTACGCATGGAAAAGGCTTTCTGTGCTGCCTTTTCCGTGGCTGGGGGAAGATGGATGGGGAAGCTACACACAGTCCTCTAACTCAGACACTGCAGTTGGAGGTTTGTTGAAAGGAAAGGATAAGGAGCTCTTGCTGATTCTGCTCTTGGTTCATGCAGAAGAAATGTGCTGTGGCAGGCAGGAGAATTAAAAAAAAAAACCTAAAAACCACCCCTTGCCTATTATGGTGTTCCTAGCAAGATATTCCTACTTCTTAAAGATGAAACAAGTGTGTCCACCTCATCTGTAAATGCTCATGAGGGAATGAAACAGACTTACTTTCAACTCTGCTCTTAGTATCATCATGTAGAACTAAGCTGACTACAAATCCAAGAGAAAAAAAAAAAAAAGGCAGGTTTTTGATCAGAAAATAAATTTTCCAGAAGGACTCTGAGTCGGGGACATCTACTCCTCCCCTCCCCCACAAGAGAAAAGTTTGACCTAGAATCTGAAAGGTCATAAAGCCTCTTTATACTATCATTGGAGTGGAAGGAAAACAAAGAGAATTACCCAGTTTCATTAAAAACAGACCAGGGAACTAAGAGGTCACAAGAGCATTAAGAAGCATTTTCCTTTAATAATTCCCACAACTCTGCTGAAAAACCCCATGACAGAAGAACACATTTCAGAATTGCAGCTGTTAACACATCCATGAAAAGCACTGCTAATAAGGCAAAAGCAAGCTCTGCTGACTTTTATTTTTCTGCTGCACCAGATTCTTGGCGTACCACTAAAAAAGCCCTTGCAGGAGAGCTTTGACCAAAAAGAAAAAAAGAAGAAGAAGAAGCCGTTTTTGAGTAGCATCTGTATACTACAATCATCAGTAAGCTTACAAATATTAAGGAATAGAGTTCAATATGCAATAAGTATAATGAAATTTCTCTCATTCTTAATTATATTTTCAGAATACACAGTGCAATTTTCCTGTGTTACTGTAGTGGGGAAATTCTCTCTTTTCAAGGTAAGCCTTCTATGCCTACTAAAGAAGCAGGACTTTGGCCTTTGTATTAAATCCTATAACCGTTGAAACAGTATCCTGCCAGCCTGAGCTTTTAACATTTGAATTTATGTCAGTGAACATTGATGGAGTCGTTTTGGATAACTTTGGATTTCTGCCTCAGCTTGATCCTGCTTGGCAGCCAGTGTCACTTGATTGAAATATTAGATTCTCTAAAACCCCATAAACAAACTACACAAGGCCAGAGTGTGCCAACTATGATTAAAGGTAAAGGTTAAACACATAATGAGCCTGAGGATGCCAACAGACACAATATTTTTCTCATTTGTGAAATTTACATTTACTTACAATTTTAAAATAAGAGGCCTGATTTTAACTAGACATCTTCCATTATCTTTGAAATCAGGTAATTTATATTAATGCTTCAGCTAATATTGAAAAGCTTAAGCAATAATTTTATAAACACGGCAGTTGTTGTTACAGAAACACACACAAAATATTTTACCTTTTTTCCTGTGCTTTGATTACTGATGAATCATACTCAGAAGCATTTATTCTTTAATTCCTCCCTTAAATATATATGTATTTGATGTATATGATTATATATATGAAATTACATATATTCATGAACTAGATAAATGGAGCTGTGTGCAATTGTTAAAGGTAACCATCTTTATAGGCAGTAAGCCCATGTCATTCATGTTGGGTTTAAGTATGTTAGTGAAACAAATACTTTTGGAATTCAGGTTACTCATTGCCTTAGATCTCTGGGTCAGGATCTATGTTTTTTCATCAGAGTATAAGACTTTACAATAATAGGTTTCTGTTTCATGATCAAAGCTACCATATGCTACCACAACAAAAACATCAACACACACTCTTGTAGAAACAGTCCTTTTCAGAGAAACTTTGCCTTGTGTTTTCGTACAGACTGAATTGGCACTTTTGAATAAAGCATAGAGCACCAAAGCGTAGCACCTAGCACACAGATTTTACAGTATTTGTCCAATATTAGTGCATCATTTTGGGGAAGAATATATTGGCTCTGTCTAGAGTGGTAAAATCCACTCCTTTTGCTTTTGTGCCAGAAGTCAAGCATATTCATAAAGATCTGCCCATGTATTTAAGAATACTTCTCTCACATATCCCCCCATCCATGCCTGCTAAAGTGACATCCTCGCATAGAACTCTCTGTACATGAAAGCAGGAGAGAGGAGATACAGTAATGATACTTCCAAGACCTTTTTAGAAGTGACCTATACAATTAATGAAACAGTTCTGGTCTCTATTTCTCCTCTTTTGTACTAGTTAATGTACTTATTTTATAACTGACTGTATCATGACATGTCTCTGCGCTCAACACGCTCTAAGGTTTGGTCTTAACCATTAGAGCAGGCTCCTCTCCACCATTTCTGCTTCACGAAGACAGTGCCTATAGTGGTTACGTGCTTAAACAAAAAAACTCTCCCCAACTCCACAAAGAGGCCAATCCTCTTGCTTCTAATGGTAATCTGTTGCCCTGCCTTTTGCATTACTGCTTTTCCAGATTTCAGCAGCCTAATTTGCCCAAGATCTGGAAAATGGACATTGCAGTTTCACAAAACAGCTGTGCAAGTACACTGGCTCTTTGATGTGTTCATACACCACATATCTACATGTTTGACTATCTTGCAGCTCTGACTTTGGATCTGTAAGTGTTGTCAGGCTTGGAACATTCTTTTCAGCAATTCAGACTGTTTTTCTACAGCTATTAGAGTTCTAAAATATTTTGTTAACGATAGTACAAAGCAGAAAACTACTTACTTCATAACTTGCAAAGCAGTATGTGCTTTCAGCTACAGTTTGCAACTAGTATGTTTTCTTATTATAGAAACATCTGGTACCAGTAAAAAAGTGATTCAAACATTCAGATCTTCAAATTTATTATTATTTCCATTTTATTCTGTTTAAACCATACTTAGTTCAGGATCCATTTGGCTGATTTAATAGTTGTTGCTCCATTTTATCTGGATAGTCTGTCGATGCTAGTAGAAAATCTAAATGTGAATGTTTAATTTCCAGATACTTTGTAAGATGAGAATAAAGATAGTATTTGATTCCTCTCACTCAGATTTGCTTAAAACACAACTCAGACTTTGTACCTTGAATAATATTTTTGGCCCTTTGAAATCTTAAACATTAAACTGCCATTCTTTCATGTTTTTGGAACTGCCATAAACTGAAGCCCCATGAAGTACAATTTACTCCAGTGTTTCACTGTTTAAGGAAAAGTGAATCAGTAAGATCAATCTAGAAAGAGTAAAAATGCAGCAAATAGCAGTAAAAACGCAGCAAATTTGTTTGGAAAGATATCATGTGCGTGATCTAAACCTTTGCAAGAAACACTATCCTCACTTTTTGCCTTTCATGGTATAAGTTTCCATTTGCAGGGAGAGTCAATCACAAGCTCCATCCTCCATCGATGATTAGTTCATTGCCAGTCACATAGGCAGACTGAAATTACATAAAAAAGAACAATGATTGGAACTAATTTTTCATGGCTGTTAATTACAGGGAAACTCTACTTCTTTAAATTCAAAAATCTGCTTTCTTTTTGTACAAACACTATTTTTTTGTTTTACAAAAATGCCTGAATAAATAATAAAATATCTCAATATAAACTTTGAAATTGAAGCCTTTCAGTTAACTCAAGGGAGTATTACAAAAGTATTATTAGAGGCATTGAGATGAGAATGCATCCTGAATGTACAAATTCACATAAGCTAGACTTCAGATATCTTACCTATAGGAATAAATGCCTCACACTTTGTTGTTATTAGCTCTGTTCAGCTGAGCAGAATCTGACCAGGTCAGGCAATAATTATGAGGAGACCTAACTGAAAATTTAGATCATGCAGAGA